TATAAAGGACATCAGTACTAGTTGACACGTGTTTCTGATTTTGTAATTTTTAAAATTGTTATTTTAATGAATTACTTGATAGAAACATTTGCTAAAATATACTTTGATCATTCATCTGAAAATAAACGAGAAGATGTTTATTTAACGAAATCAAAGTTATTTACGCATGCATATAATATTTTGATATGATTCCTACAAAATATAATATTATAATATATTTTAATGTATTCTATAATAATATGATTTAAAAAATATATTTTTTTAATTATAAATTATATATAGATATATTATATATCTATATAATATTTATTTTGTATAGATATTTATGTATCTATAAAAATAGATGTATAATAGTAATAATAGATGTATAATATATTGTGTTGGCAAAAAAGTAATTTCGGTTTTCTAGTGTGAAATATTACTTTCTTGTCAACTCAATAATATTATATATATATATACTTCCTACCGAAATTACTTTCTTGCCAACCCAATAATTTATATATCTATATAATAGATGTATATATATATCTATATACATACATACATATATGTGTGTATATTGATAAACACATATATATATATACGTCGCAGTGATAAACCTTAACATTCAACAACATCAAGGATCATTTTATCGTGATAAATTCCTCGTGTTTTGGGTCAAAATCTCAACGTCAATAATCAAGAAATTGTAGCTCAACATGCGATTTTCATTCACTTCGTCGAAATTACCGTACTTTCGTTCTTCGAACTACTGTTCGTTAACTATAGCAAACAACGATGTGACGATAGAATCACAAAAAATATAATTTCAACTACAACGAAAATTATAATCGATAATCAAATAGAATCGAAATGTTTTTTTTAATATTACAACCAATGATTTAAAAATAATAATCATTCGCAAATAAAATTATACTAGAAAGTTTAAAAAAAAAAAACGTAATAAAAAACATTCTTATTAAAGTTCCTATTTCGAACCTTGGAAAGATACTCTAAATATTTCATTTTTAAAAATCATACTAACCGAGTACGATAAACCTATTTTCGTGAGTGGACAGATGTTTTCAGAGAAAAGGTCAATCGATGACTCAGGAAAATGTCTGCGGTACGTGGTATTATATGAAAAATTTTCCTATATTTTTGTATGATGATATTTTAACTTGACAGACAAAAAGACACGAAACATATAAGTACATACTTGGAATAAAATGAAAAACGATAAATACTCGACTACGATATAAAAATTATAACCTTAACAGTAGATATATCAGAATAGTCATTTTGACTATTTCTTGCAACTCTTCATGTAACATTTGATTTCTGTAAATCATTAAGCGTTTTGTTATTTAAAAATATCTATAAATCCATTTATCTATTAAAATTATTATTGTTAAATACATTTTTTGTTATTTTTTAAGAGTAAATAAAGACTGTGGAAATCTCAAAAAGCATTTTTTTTTATACGCTAGTCATTTTGACTAGTGTGGTAGAAATAGGTATACTGAAAATGGTGGTATATTTAGTGTTAACCAAGAAAAGATGTTTGTAAGTGAAATCATCCTAAAGTTAATAATACAAATTACTTGTTTTGAATTTACAGATAATGTTATAATACTTTTTCATTAATAATACAAAAATATGTAATACTCACAATGAAATATTATATCAAGGAACAAAATGAAATTGATTGAAGATGATAGACGAAATAAATGTATGTAAACATGTATATGTGGTAGCAATTGATCGATGGCCAACAAATCGCCGAATAACAACTATGACATCTCCTGCTATCAAATTTCACGAATATCTTTCGATCTTTTAGGTTACCATGAGCAAAGAAGTAAAGCTCTCTTTAATAACATTGCGTTATAAAATAATAGAGAGGTTTAAAAAGCAATGCCATTTTTTATACACATTGCCAATTAAAAGGTTCAATTAACTAAAATTATTATCAAATTTTTGTTAATTACATCGACGATAATTTTTTATTAAAAAAATTCTACTTATGAAGATTTTCTATGAATACTGAAAATAAATTTTATAAAGTACATATATATATGCAGATAGAAATATATAAAAAAAAAAAGTAATGAAAAAGGTGAAAATTGGATTATACTATTTTTAAATTTCGAGTTCATCGTCGTCGACGGCCAATAATATCTACCTACATTCTCGGTCGAATAATTAGATTGAAAAGATAATTATAAAAAATGCGTTTCATTATTTCACACTCTTTCGACGAAAAAAGAATGCTTGGAAAATGAAATTAACTTGTAGAAAGGTTGTAATAATCTCTTTTGAGATTTTCTAAAATCTATTGAAATTTATAACTGACAAACGAAGTCCTAGAAATAATACAAAGTCACTGATTTAATTAAATAAAATTCAAAAGAAATAAATAAATAAAACAAATTAGATATTAACCCTTTGAATGCCGAATACTTTTACCTACAATATTTTGTAGAAACGAAATTGTTTATTATTAATTAGATCCTAATAATAAATTAGGAGATAAATAGAGAATAAATAGACATTTTCTTTATATATATAAATATAATTTAATTAATTAATATAAAAATTACGTTATTTTACATTAATATATTGGGTTAACCGGAAAGTTCGTGCCGATTTTCGATAGATGGCATAAAGTTCTTTTTGCTGAAAAACCTGAAAAATTTTGCAAGGACAAAATTTTTTAAGTTACCCATAAAGATGGAGAATACTTATATTATATACTTATAATAGTTAAATAATTAAATAAAATAAATAGTTTAGTAGTATTAAATACTTATAATATACATATATATTTTAAATTATAAAATTATATATTATATATTATAATTATAAAGTATATATATTATGAAATTATATTATATATATATTATTAAATTATATTATTATAATATTATTATATTATAATAAAATTATTATATTATTATAATAATAATTATATACATATATATAAATAATATAATACTTATATTGGGTTAGCAAATAAACGATTGCAGATTTTGTCGATAAGTGGCCTTTTAAAATCACCAATAACTTAGTTACCAAACCAATAATATATATATATATAAAACACTTATATATATATATATATATATATATATATATATATATATATATATATATATATATATATAAACTTATATATAATTTAATAAACATTTACCAAAAAACAAACTTAAATGCATTGCGTTTCAATCTTTCGTCAAAATCGGTACAAACTTTTCGGATAATCCAATAAACAAACACATATGCGTCGATAGAACTCATAGGGTTAAAAAATAAAAAAGCTAAAAATATCAATTTATAATTCGTTTTCAACTGTTTCGTAAAGAAAATGAAGCTACCTATATTACGTAAACAACAATTATGTTTAATAATAGACAAAAAGAAAGATTAGTATATACTTATAGATAATAACACATGCAACGTTACAACTGAGACATAGAACAGGAAAGAGCATAAGCTGATCAAAGTTGAATTTGCTTATTGACGCTGACATTTCTCAAACTAGGGAGACGTCATGGATTTTCGCACGCTTCTAATCGACAGTTTGGTCAGTTTCCATATACCACAAAGGTTAATACAATGACGCAAGCTTGTGCTTATATGATAGGGAAATATATTGAGAAGAAATGTGGTCAAATCACGATACATTTTTAAAGAGAAAATTCATGTAAAATAAAAAGAAAAAAAAAAGTTAAAAAAATATCTTAACTTATATAAATGTATCAAGTTCAACAAGAAAAAAAAATCTTTTTATAACATCATCTACTTTCAAATACACCATTAATTTTCTTTGATCCAAGAAAACGTCGACAACAAATATCTAATTTGTCGATTGAGTCACAAGAAAAAGTTGAAAAGGTTTTCTCTCTTCTTTCTATCTATCTATCTCTCTCTCTGTCTCTCTCTCTCTCTCTCTCTCTCTTTCTCTTTCTCTTTCTTTCTATCTATCTATCTATCTATCTATCTATCTATCTTTTTCTCTTTCTCGAAAAGAAAACTTTTCCTCAACGGTTTATGAAAATATCGAGTATGCTCGAGGAACTTCCTCAGAAACTTTACCCAATACAGAGAACCTTCCGATTTATTTTTGTTAATCTAAAATAGATGGACAATTTGAATCTGAGTTCGGTATGTTATTTCGTACTATTGTAACATCACTTTGACCGAGACATTTTGGTCTCATGAAATCAGAGGAGTTTGTTATCTAACATAAACTTTCTTCGGATTCAATCGAGATAATATTCAATTGTTATTTCAATCGTTATGTGATCAAACTACTCATTTTAAAAAAAGAAACCAAATGATAAGAAATTTTTTTTCTTCGTATACGTATTTATAAATACTTTATAAATGAAATGTTCTTTAATTTAACACTAAATATACCAGACCAGTCATTTTGACTGGTCGGGCCATTTCAATTCAAAATTTCTACTTCATGTAACATTTGATTTCTGTAAATAATTAAGCGTTTTGTAATTTTAAAATGTCTATAAAGTCATTTGTCTATTAAAACATTTTTTGGTATTTTTTAAGAATAAATAAAGACTGTGGAAATCTCAAAAAGCCATTTTTATACACCAGTCATTTCGACTGGTGTGGTAGAAATAGTTATACTAAAAATGGTGGTATATCTAGTGATAAAAAATTGTATTTTATCTGTAAGAAGAAATATGAATTTAATTATTTTTTTAAGATTCTAAATTTATCTTTGTTTTTTTATTTTTTGATATCAATCATATCAAAATAATTGGTACCATTAAAAAAAATAGAATATTTCCATAACGTGACGAGATATTTTTTTTGTTTTAGAAACGTTCCAAGCTTGTTCGTGAGCAAGAACATTTTGAAAAATCGATCGAAATATTTTTCGATATTTTTCAAACGTTCAAGCAAGATAATCGAGATATTGTTTTTTTTTGTCTATTTACCTTTATCGTACGCCATCCTTTTTTTTTATTTCTTTCTCAATCTTTCTAGCTTATTTGATATTCAATATTCTTTCTTCTTTTTCTTCAGATATCCTTAAAAGTAACACGATAACACTTCGTTCGATCTTCTAGTTATTCAAAAATTCATTGACATGTTTTATTCTTGTGAAAATGGAAAAAGTAAAGAAAATTAATAAACGACACATTAAAAGAATTAAAAGAAAATGCAACACGATAAGAGGTAAGTGTACATTATCAAGAAGTTTAATTGGCGCCGAAGAAAATACGCACTTGCGTGACTTTCAATAGATTTTCAAAATGGCGTCAAATGATTTTCTAACAACGAACAAAAGCCGTGCGACGCAATAACCTTGAAGTGTACTGCTCAACTCGACTTTTTAATTAATTTCAACGAGAAAAATAAAGGAAAAAAGTTTTCATGTATTTGCAAGCCAAACTTTTTACCATTAAAAAAAATTAAGAACATGTTTTTTTATCTTGTTGTTTGAAAAAATTAAAAAATACAATTAAGGCAAATCGAAAGAAGTTTTGAATAAAATTTGAATCTCGAAAATTGCATTTTCTTGGGAAAAAAAAAAATTAATTCTCATATTTTTCTTTGCTAATCAAACACCACGTGCTGCATTGCTTCTTTCTTCTCTCGTAAGCACAAAAACTAATATAAATATTTTTTATTTTTTTCTAAATTACTTCAACGTCCGAATCATTTGTCTAGACACAAGTTCACACAAACACATTAGCAAAAGTCCATAATTAAAAGTTCTTCAAGGTAACACAACAATGAACTAATTTCCTTGAATAAAAAAATTAATCAAAGTATTTAACAAAGATAATTTCTTTTCAAATTTTCGCGCGCACTAGGATCGACGCACTCATAATCTGCGAAGATCGTCAATTTTTTACGTGGCATTTTTGAACGATTTTAAAGATAAACTTTCACTGTACACTAATCGAAGTAAATTTTGTTTTTATCATAAGAAATAATCTTCATAGTTGTCTCTTCGTAATGTCACTATACTTCTTAGTACAATAGACCGTTTCTCATTATTCACATTTACATGTTAATATCTATGCACTGTACTTAACTTAGTAACTTCAAAAAGGCGCCAAAAATCGATCGAAAAAACAATTACGAAAAAAGTTCACGACATTACATATTATTTGTAAGTGATTGTAGAAAGATTCGATTTTTAATAGACGAACGAATGTCAATCTGTTACGTTTGTCAAAGGTCGATTAAACGGGTAGAAAAGCGTCAACGATGAAACCCACTAAAAGTACTGTAGGTTTCCAATACTTTTTTAATCTTTCTCTCTCTCTCTTTCTATGTCGTATTCACACAACACACGCAAACACGCGATCACGATTTACGCCGGAAAATGACAAATGTCACTTTGACAAAACAATTCGAAATTAAACCACTTGATTTACATAATTGTCTCGAATGAAAACCAGAGATGAAAAAAAAATCCAATAAAATGATCACTTCGAATCCGCACGATCGGTCCGTAATCACGCGCGGCTCTTAACAAAGCGCCCTGTCGAAGCGCTAGTAATAACAAAAGACAAGCAGCGACGAATCACGAGGGGTGGCGTCCCTCATGGCGATCGCAACGACACCTACCAACTAATTTGACCAACTACGTAACCCTTGGACTTGTGTCGATAATTATGAAAATGAACTAACAATTACTAATAAAATAGACAAAATTTATTTTATCATTTTCTTAATATTATCAATAATTATAATATAAAATAGATCATGAAAATCTACAAAGTAGGATTTTTGTAACAGTGATTTAATTCCAAATTTATATAAATAAATAAAAACACTTGTGTCAGTAATTATGAAAGCCGACTAAGTTAAAAAAAAAAATAAGAAAAATTTACTTTGTAATTTAATTTACAATATATAAAAAAAATCATGTGTGTGAAAATAAATTTATGTATCTTTTCATTTACAATAATTACCGACATGATTGCCGACAAGAAGCTTACTAAACATCCCTTATCATTCAAACAATATACAGGCATCTACTTTACCGATGATTTACAAACTTATCGAAATAAGAACATTGTTTGTATCAGTTTAGAAATGATTTTTTAAATATCACTTGAAAAATTCTTTTAACAATTTCGTAATATGTTTATTTAAAATCTTGTTAAATATAAATACTTGTTTGTTTCGTGTTCAAAAATATAAAAAAATAAAATGCACCCACTCTATGGGGTGGCGTGGGTTATCTGACCGTACCATAACAGGGGAAGTTTTAAGAATAGAATGTATCTATTACGAGAACAGCTATTCTTGGGATGTTTTTCTACAATGGGAAATAAATTCTTAACGAAAGTAGAAAATCATGTAGTTATTAATAAACAAATCTTATCGTATTTATCACAAAATGGATATTAATATAAATAACTGGATAGTTATTATCGAATAAAAATAACTTGTTTTCTTTTACCGATGATACACCTTAACAAGTGTCGATAAATCAGGACACATCATCGAATATCCTGGAAGTAGGTAACAGGAAGTCTTAATTACTTATACTACATCGATAAAATAAAAACAGAAGTAAAAGTCGATAATAAAATTGAATTTTTTTCTTGCTTTTTATATTAACATTCAACCTGTACAAAAATTTGTATGCAACATAAGTGCATATAGAAATACTATAAAAAAGAATTGTAAATTTAATTGAAGAGTTCATCAAGTGAAAAAGTATTTTTCTCTTGATTCTCATTCTCGGAATGAATTTATGAAAAAAAAAAAAAGAAAATTATACCGCTAATTAAATTTTTTTCAACAAGCACTTAATAACATCCTTTCATTACAAGTCAAATGAAAATAATATAATTTCTCTTAACGTTTCTCTTATGTCAGTAAGAGGAACATATTCATATTCATGATATTAAATCGTGAAAACTTAGACGAAGTCGAAAACGTTTAATTTTTTTCTAGAATTACAAATTAAAGAATTTTTATTATATGAAAACCAGAAGGAAAATCTTCATTCGTTTAAAGATTAAGTGGAAAATTGTAATTCGGTTTTCCAAGCTTAACATGCATCGTTGAATCCAATACTCGTTATTTCATTTTTTGGTTTCTGATTGTTATCGCATCTATAGTAGGATTTGTCATTTAAATAAATTGCACGACTAGGACAACAATAGAGAATAGCCAATATAGAAAATCAAATTTTCAATAAATATTTTCCGGTCACGTAGAATTTTTGTGGTTAGTTACCGTTATTAATTTGAAACGTATAAAAACGAACTTAACGGTTAATCCAATTAATTTTAAGAAACAGATGAATAAATATGTAAATAAATAGATAAATAAATCAAAAACTCACCCAATTGATGGCCACTCTCCATCAGTCGTAGTAGTCGGTGCAGATGTACTTTTATTCGGTAAACTCAATCGTGGTCCAATTCTAAGCGTCATAGGTCGCCTTCTTCGCAACGTATAATCTAAAAATATCAAATAGAAACAAAGTTTATGATAATATGCCACTTCCTAATCATAATTTCATTCTTAAATATGATATCGTTAAATAAAACATAGTTCAATGTTTATATAGCCATTACAGTTAATTTTGCTTTTAAAATCGAACTTTACGACTAAAAAATAACATTTAAACGAAAAATAAAGCAAAATGATTAACGTTGACGGAAAAGAAAAGAAAACAAAAATCGAAAAGATTTTCTAAAGCAAAGAGTAAAAGTTTAACAAAAATTCAACTTTCGAGGTAATTTTTTTCAAAGAATTTTTTCTCGAGCATCAGGTGTCTTCGTTAAACGTTCCATCGCTTTCCTTCTCTCTTTTCGCTAAATTTACATGAACAAACCTTTTGCTTATGTATAAGAGTTACCTTAATTAAATTGTTCTTCGCATAAAGAATAAAAGAACTTTGGTAAAACGTCAGTGAATACTTAGTCTTAAAAAAGCAAAAACCTTTGAAAAAGAAATGCCAGATTGAAAAATAATCTATCTTTTACTAGAAAAATTGCTTTGTAATTACGACTTGTCTAATTAACAAGTTTTTTTCGAAAAAATAACGACATGATTCTTGTGCTAACGCATACTATACTGTATACCTAATTACAAACCGGCACAAGATTGTAAATCCAACGGTAAGTAACAAGAGAGCTTAGTCGTTTATTTTAACACGTGTAAGTATCTAAATAAGTACGTGCAACAAAAAAAGGACAAGTAATGTTATATTTAAAATAAAATCGAACGCTTTTGAAGTTAAAGAAGCATGATAAATTCAATACGTATACCTTGTACTTCATGCATAGTTCATTTCAAGGAAACGAGAGAGGGGGTTAGGAAAAATAATTTTACCAAATAAATAACTGGATCTTTTTAACGAAAAAAAATCATCATTTTGAATCATGAATTCATGATGCTAAAGAATTTCTTTAGAAAAAAAAAAAGAAAAAAAAAACAGAAAAAAAAGAAATGAGAGAGATGCGAGATTATTGAAAAAGTCTAACCATTCGCGCAACAGAGAGAGTTACGTCCTTGAAAAACGTGCGGTGACAAATACTGAGGATGTGGATGCGTAGGAGTTGCTGGGGTGGTCCTGCTGGAGACTGGAGACGCCATCCAGGGTGGTGCGACATCCCTTATCGTATTTTCCTCCGTCACGGAGATGGGTATCTCATTGGTCACCCGCACTTCTATTCCAACCGTCTGCAAAAAAACAACATAAAACCAAAATGACCTTCTTTTTCGATGAGTCGATAATCTTTTGGTCGGTTCATAATGAAGTCGTTCAAAAACTCGTCTTACTTAAAAGCTTATATTTGACAAATATTAAATATCCTCTACAATCCTGATAATGAACATATGTGTAAAATTTATATACGTTCTCACTTCCTAACATCTATTCAACACAAATACGAAATTAGTTAATGTAGTTTAAACTTCTATCATATCTAAAGCAACAGTCTTTTAAGTAGTACTCATTAAATACCTTAAAATAGAAAATTTGAAATATTTACAATGATAAAGTTATCGTTTAATCAATAAAATCTATATTAAGTAGAAAATCTAAAACAATTATTTAAAAAATAATTTAATTTTATATATATATATACACAGTTGCGTGTGATAAAATTGTAAAGGATAGATGTTAAAGATGTTTTTATATTAAAGAAAAAAAAGAAGCTTTATCAGACTTTATGTATACGAATATTTTCCATTGAATCGGGGAAAATCATTGGTGGATAAAAGAAGAAGGGGAAAAAAAAGGTCGAGAATAAATTTGAACAAGCAAAATTCGAATTTCGTACCCCTACGATAAAAATCAACCAGTTTACTGTAGTCAATCAAAAAGACAAACTGCTTCTTAATACTAACTCGAAAGAATAAAAATTTGTATAAAGAAAAAGATAAAATATTCTTTACTTGAAGGGACAATTAAGATACTTTCATTTTTTCATTAAATATTTTTCTATCAATCTTAGTATCAAAAGTAACATAATTTTCTGAGTATTTTCTATTACATATTATATTCTCTAAGGTATCTCTTCTCTCTTTTAATATCATCTATAGGTTTTAATAATTCTTACTTTTCGATCGGACGCAACCTGTTGACTCCTGTATCCTCCCACGAGGAAAAGCAACTACTGATACTTCGAATTTAACACCATTAACGTTTAATTACATTACGATCGATTTTGTAATTATAAAGGTAGAAGGAGCTTTACTCATCGTTTAAGCAATAGAATAAAATTCTTATGGAAAATACCGTATTTTCCATTAACTCGAACGTTACGTCGTAATGGAAACGTAAATATAATATATAATACCTATAAAAATAAATTAAAGTTTGCTGTGCATTCCGAGGAAAGATATCTCGTAATGAATAAACGCTCAGAACTGTAATTGCATGAATTAAATACTTAAATTAAAACAGCTAGATATATAGATATATAGATATAAATTGATCGTTCAAAACGAGCATCAAACACTTACTGTTTAATTTTATCTATAAAACCTATCTTTCCTATAGATATCTACACATTTTTATATTCTATAGAAAAATCGTATTGATTAAAATTGAACGAGAGAATTGAAAAAGCACAACTAGCTATACTTTTTTTTTTCAACGTATACTTTTGTACTTAGACACGTAACTCGTTATCTGGACATTCGTGCACGTACTCTCTCTCCGTTTGTTTTTAAAGCATTCAAAACTCATCAATATTTCTCTTTTTATTTTTTACCCACTTTGACATCTTTCAAATCGTCTCGACGAGTAATCTCGTAACTTCGAAAGATACTCGAAACACGATATAAGTGTTATACAATTGCACACATATATTCGTTACTCATATCCTTTTATTTATTTATCTTTCTTCTTCTTTTATTTAAACTGACTGTAAAGTTGAATTTGCATGATTTGTAATGTCTCGTGATTTTTCCTATTCTATCGAGCATGTTTTTCTTTTTTGAAAAAGCTCGTTTAATAGAAAAAAAAAAAAAAGAAAAATTAAATAAAGAAATAAAAATCAATTCTCAACG